TTTTGTTGTTTAGAGCAGTCTTTTCCACTGAAAGGTATACCAGTAGTTATAAGTGAGATTATATCATCGTATCTGATGCTTGTTTCGATATCTTGGAATGTGGAACATTCTCTTTAAGTTGTCCTCCGTATCGGTTCATGACATGCGCGATAAGCCCCCTCCACCCCCGTAGCCTGTGTGTATACTTTACCTGCTTGATCCGTGTGGTAATGATTTGCCCAGAACGGCGTTGCTATGAAATGTAAGGAAAAGCTTGAGGCCGTCTGGCGCAGTAGATCGCAGTGGTTCGATTGTTGGCAGGTTCCCAGTGGCCCTGGAGTGTAATTAAGGAAAGGAGGGATATTCGATCCCTCCTTCACCTTTGAAGCTCCCGCCCGCCCGGCCATGATCTGTCTGATGATGTCTTTTTCTGACTCCGTGTGCTTGTTGCTTCCTGAGGTGTGCAGTGCCGTTTACCCCCCATCTTTGACATTGTTTATGCCACTTCTCCATTTACGAATGCGCAACCGAGGTGTGGTTGGCAGATGTGTGCATTATTTCGGCATCTAGGCGGGAATGGCGGCACTGTACGTGATCTCAGCATGTAGGCGGGAGTGGCGGCACTGTACGTGATCTCAGCATCTAAGTGGGAGTGGCGGCACTGTACATGATCTCGGCATCTAGGCGGGAGTGGCGGCACTGTACATGATCTCAGCACCAGGCGGGTGTGGCTGCACTGTACATGATCTCGCCATGTGGAACGGGATGTAGTGTGCGTGCGTGGAGTTTCTGATGACAAACGACTCCAAAGCAACGAAATTTCCCAAGCAAATCTAAAATGGGAGCCATTGGATGAAGGTAAAGCTGCACATGGAAATAATACGTTTTTAATGTCGTTTTTTTTACTAGGATTTCAAATAATTGGCAGTCATTTTGATCCAGCTTGGGATTTAGCTCTGAACCCGTACCTGCTACCACGAAGTTGATTGGTGTAGGCATAGTTGACTGCGAAGTGGGCAAGAATATATCAAAATGGTCTCTGGACGACTGTGGCTAGTTTTACAAGGCCTGATATCCTGTGTATATAGAACGAGTGTGATAAGAAAAATTTCATTTGATCACGAAGAATGCACCGTGAAAGTTATCTCCAGGATGAATTCAACGTGTATTACCTGTGGCTAAAGCTATGCTGCTAATGCGCAGATTGCCTTGTAGCCTTGTGGTAAAATCAACCCGCTGATAAGATTGGCGCCGTTAAGATGCTCGTTTGCAAAATGTAAGCCAATGATCGCAGGTCCAACTACAAAGCTCTCTAGCTTAGCGGTGTCCCTTGATATTCTCATTAATGGCAGCATGCACCGTATTGAAGACATTTCACTGTGATGTGACCAGGCGAACTACGAAAAGAGAACCAAATGACAAGATACGCAAAATTATGTTAGTGAAAGGCCTGGAAGGCCATGTGTTGAACGTCGGTGCCCACTGTTTTGGCTGAGTTAGAGTTCCATTGGGTACGCGATCGCTATGAGTCGGAACACATACGAGAAGGCGTCTGTCCCGTGGGGAAAAGTCTGATTGAGGTACGCCGTCACAACGAAACTGGCATGTCATGTGCGTGTGCCTGGGCTGCCCCGCGCAATGAGCAGTCGATCAACGGTGATAGCACGTGCCAACAATCGTCATCATCCTCCAACTTCGCTCCACTGATGCGTTCTGGGCGCTGCTGACGGTTACCGTGCACAACGTAGTTCAGAAGCCAGGAAAAAACGAATGAAAACTCCTGTTAAGGAGCACGGGACGCGTGAGGGATAGTACATAGCACACGTGCATATGAACACCCGCCGTGTAGCTTACTGAAGTCATGCAGATGCGGCATTACTGAAGCCATGATTATGATCGCAGAGGCCGCGTCGAATTTGCTCATACATGTGTGTTTGCCTGTCTGTCAAGTCCTGCCGGTATGTTTTTTTTTTCAAATCGTCTGTCATGCTTTATGAAAGCTTCTGAGAAACGGCTAGGCAACGGATCTTGCGCCGTGGGTATGGATGAGTCAGACGACACGCTGTCGAGATTTCTAATAAACCAGTTGGATTTGAGGAAAAAGCGTTCGTTCTGGTAGTGGGACATTGCATCATCACTGGCCCTGGCGCCTTGGCACAGAAATCCCCCCCCCCCCCCCCCCACCACAAATCTGATCTCACTGTAACTAGTCGTGCCGTTGGAACACAGGTGGATAGACGCGCGCGAGGTCGGCGTATGAAGTGGGAGGCGGGCGAGATGGGCCAGTAGATAACATGATTGTGGATGCCCGTCGGATCAGAGTTGACCATCCAAGGCCGGACAGCTCTGCAGCCGGCCGGGCTAGCTCGGCACGCTCTGTGCGAGGTTCGCCCGGACACAGCACGGACTGCTCTGCAGCCGGCCGGACTCGCTCGGCACGCTCTGTGCAAGGTTCGCCCGGACGCAGCACATCGCGCGCGCTGGCGGCGTTCGCCGGGCCGATGGGAAGTCCAGCGCGGCTTCTCTTCGGCCAACTGCCAGAGGCGTGGGCTCCACGGAACTGCTGGCTGTGCCTGGCGCACGTATTTTCCCACATGGCGAGGACAGAGGCCCACCTATCTTGTCTTTCGGTGCGCACCTGCACGGAACTCCACCTTATGCCCGCTGCCGTTCTGTTTCAGAACTGGTAGCCAGAGCGCCGACAGTTGTTAGAGCAAACTCAGGTGACAAGTCGAAAATCAATACGAAGGTGAGTGAATGAATGAGCGAGAGGGCGGGCGACCTGGCCGGGCCGGGCCGGGCCGGGCCGAACCGAACCGAACCGAACCGAACCGAACCGAACCGAACCGAACCGAACCGAACCGAACCGAACCGAACCGAACCGAACCGAACCGAACCGAACCGAACCGGACCGGACCGGACCGGACCGGACCGGACCGGACCGGACCGGACCGGACCGAACCGGAACCGAACCGAACCGAACCGAACCGGACCGGACCGGGCCGGACCGAACCGGACCGGACCGGACCGGGCCGGGCCGGGCCGGGCCGGGCCCGTCATCTGTGGCGGAGCGGGGGCACCTGTGTGACGCGGAGCGACCGCCCCGAGCGGTGCCAGCTGTCTGCCGGCGGCCGGAGCGCGCGCGTGTGCCCTGATGGCCGCCTCCGCTCGGCTTGCGTCGGTGCCGGCCTGGTGCCCGCTGACCGACGCTCTGGCGCGCCCTCAGGCGTCCGACTTCAGTGACTTGGGAGACTGGCCCACGCTCGAGAGGACGGCCAGTGCGCCGGGCACGCCGCGCCCCGCCGGCCCCGTCTCCGGCTCAGGACCCAGCTCCGGCCACGGCAACGGCAATGGCAACCTCACCAACGGCACGGCGCCCTCCTCGCAGGACGACGACTCGTCCAAGGAGAACTACGACGAGAACCGACAGAGCGCGACCGCCAGCGACAGCAGCAAACGGAAACGCAGCAGTGAGTGGGCCGGCGCGCTGACCGCAAGTGGGTCTGCTGGTCGGGAACTGTGTCGTGCCAATGTGACGTGACGGCGAGGTGGCAACGCTCCGCGGCCTCCGTCGCTTGGCCTGACGTCGCTGGTGAGCTGTGTCGTTACCCCCCCCCCCCCCCCCCCCGTCAAAGCGTCGCATCACCGTGCGTCGATCGTTTCAGCTCCGAAGCAGAAATGGAAGCCGATGGACATCGAGTTCCGCGGCCGCGGCAAGCGGACGGACCGGTCGCCGCGCGGCGGCTTCCGGTCACGCATGGACCCTCGACGGGCAGGTGAGCGAGTGGCGGCCGGCGGCGAGCGGGCTGTCGCCGGGCCGGCTATCTGGCGGCGGCGGCGGCCACCCAGCTGGTCGCTCCCACTCGGGCGGCCACAGACAGCCCGCGGCGCCGTCGCGCCGAGAGCGCCGCTTTGACGTCCGTCCTCCGGACGCCATTTGTTTCGTCAGACCGTTTGGTCCGCTAAACTAGGCGCTAGTCGGAGCTGGTCGGGCCAGTCCCGCGTGCCAGGTCCACTGGTCACAGGCCCACCCACGCACCTGTTGGAAGTAGGTCTCGGCGGCACGGGGCTCAGCAGCGGAGATGGTCTCAGAGACTGGCGATGTCCCCTGTGCCGCATCTGCTGTGCCATGACCAGCGAGCATGCTCTAGTCAAAAGCATGTGATAGCGGCAATGTGACTACAACGAGCACGCCGTGACCATGACGTTATTGAGGATTTGGCCGCCGGCGGATCGCCGAACGACGCACAAGGAGATGGTGCTAAAAATAACAAACTGCCGGCCCATTGTAATTGATTGAGGCCTTCAATTGTTGCATGCGCTTCTCTCACTGCTTTAGATCTGTATCGACGTATTGACACTGCCAATCGTCGATTTTAAATGCGGCTGATGGCAGTGACAGCTTGGTGAAGTTACACCGCCCATATGCACTGGTGCCTACCAAATGCTCAGTGACGTCACGGCGGCCATGCGCCGTGATTGGTTGATCTCAATGCGGGTTGTCACCCTTTCCGCACCACATTTAAGGTGCTAAACGTGTCCCCTGGTCACCACGCTTTTAGTCAGTCTGTAGAGCGTGCTGCTGGTCGTGGTGCGTGTCGAAGCCGCGACACCGGTTCTGTGCCGGTGGCTGCAGCCGTCAGTTAGCAGGGCTGGTACGAGTGGGAGCGGCCGGCGCCGCCCACGCTGCGGCCACCTGTCGGGCCGTCGCGTCTCGGACTGACCTTTGCCGTGCGTACTCGGCCTGTGTGGCTGACGTGGCCACGATTGGCGCGGCCCGCCGCCGCCGCCGCCGCCAGCGCTGGGGTCCCTGCTGCGGCCTGTGCTGCGGGGCCGTGCGGCGCGGTGCGTGCGACCGCCGGCAGCCGGCGGCAGTGTGGCGCGTGGCGTCCCGCGAGGCGCGCCCTGGCTGACCGCCGCCCGCCGTCGGTGGACAGGCGCCGCCGAGAGCGCCAACTGGCGCGAGGACAGCCGGAGTGTGGAGCGGCGCGGGCGCGGGTCGCGGCCGGGGCCGGGCGCGAGGCCGCGGCCGGGGGCGCGGCTCGACCGCCGGCAGCCTGGCCGGCGACGAGTGGACCGGCCAGGATCCGCTGGAGGAGATGGCCGCTGACCTGGGTGCCAAGGTGAGAGGAACGGACGGGCTCGTAGGGCGCTTTAGGGCCGAGGATGTGCCCGCCGCGCGTGCTCGGACGGGAATGGTGGCTGATGGACGGTATTGTCCTGATATTTAATCGTGATTTCCGTGTGAAGCTCGGAGGACCCGTTACAGCAGTTGTGGCTGCTCATCATACGGTCTTGGCGTGTTGGTGTGTGGGTAGGTTTGACGGCCTGGCTATTTAAGGCTGTGTTTGCAATTCCAGTCGGGGGGCGGGGAGGGAGAGGTGTGGGGTAGTCAGTCGTTTGGCTCCGCGTCAGGGAAACCAGAGGCATGAGGTTCGATTCCCGCGGTGACCGCCCTTCCTGCCGGGGTGAGAATCAGGCGATGCCATGTAGTGTCAGAAGTTGGAGGCGGCGTCAGGCCCCAACAACAACAACAGCTGCCAGGACGGCTGCGATGGGGGCCGAGCCATGAGCACATGTGACGCGGCCGGCGCCGTCCACAGGTGCCCGAGTACATGCGGTCGGATCCCGCCTTTGTCGACATGTACCACAGCTTCGTGTACCCGTCGCCCTACCTGCAGCTGAGCGAGGTGGCGCTGCGTGAGGCCATCAAGAAACAGATGTACGTTTTGGGGTGATCTCGCCTGCACACCCCGGCGGCAGCCGCGTGTCTGGTGCCCTCGGCTGGTCGTGGCGTCAAACGGATCGGGCTTTTCCAAAAACGTCGCACGTTATGGTGACGAACGAGAGGGAAGTTCTGGTGCAAATGGTTCGTTTCCAAACCCGGGAAAGCCCGCGCATTTGTCGTCGTGTTCGGGCCATGTTGCACGGCGTCCTAGCCGCGTGGCTCGCGTCTAACGCGCCCGCACCTCCGCGTCCAGTGAGTACTACTTCAGCGAGGAGAATCTGCAGAAGGACTTTTTCCTGCGCCGCAAGATGGACAACGAAGGCTACCTGCCCGTGTCGCTGATCGCTTCGTTCCACCGGGTGGAGGCTCTGACGCGCGACATCAAGCTGGTCATCCAGTCCGTGGAGGACTCGGATGTGGTCGAGATTGCCGACGGTGTCAAGGTGAGTGCCCTGGGCCGACTCGGCGATCCCCCCCCCCCCCCACGCCCTCACCAGCTGAGTTATAACGGCCTGGAGATGGCTCAGGCGTCGCCGACAGGTGATGTCTTTTATTCGTTTTGTGAACCTGGCGTTGAAACAGCTGGGCTTTATTTTTTTCTCTCGCTTTACGGCGCCCGTTTCACGGCTAGCTCTTACAGCGTCTGCCGCGTGCGGGTCGCGTGATGTGTCCCCATCGGCGTGGTGTCATGAGAAATGGTCCAACAACACCACGCCGGTTATAAACAGAAGCACCCATAGGCTGTTGACGCTAGGGATTCGGCTTCCTAATGGCCTTGTTGGCTGGTAGATGACGCCAGAGTTTTTGTACTTTCCGCTCTTTGAAAATTAATTGTTCATTGATGGATTAGAGGTCAGAGCCGTTACCTGGCTAGGCGATAGTAGGGCAATCCTAGTGCAACAGACGGTTTTCCTGAAGGCTCTTGATGTGATATGTAGCGTCATGACACGGTTGCCCCGTGCCAGTGTGATTCTCTCCCAGTCCGCAGCTGATTGGCCCGCACTGGCCACTGGCATAGGCGCGTTTACGTGCACGTGAAACTCCATGTCTGCCACACGTTGTTCGGGTGTCCTGGTGTCCTGCGCTCTGCCAACGGGACGTGGCTACCATACCTGCAGCTCTGACGTTACGTGTGTTTCGGAGCGCGGTCAAACCAATCCGGTAAGAAGTGAGAGGGATTAGTTCAACCAGTTCAGAATCATGCACGGCGCTAGCAGCGCAGCTTTTTTACGTTGCACATGGCGGACCGATGTGCCCGGCAGATCCGCGCCAAAGAGGAGCCGCGCAAGTGGCGTCTGGCGGCGAACGCGCCGGTGCCGACGGCGGCGGCAGCGGCCGGCCACCAGGGCGGCGAACTCAACCCGGACGTACCCGAGTTCGTGCCGCACTTTCTGCAGCAGACCAGCGGCCCGGCCGACGCCGACGCCGACGGCGCGGAAGCCGACGCTGGCTCGCAGACAGGTGCGTTCCGAGGTTGGGAAGGTCCGCGGCTGCATCGCCTTACGGACCATGCCTATCCGACTGTGAATGGTGTACTGATGAAGCGGTGAGGTGCCGGTCAGGTGGCCGCTAGCAGGCCCACGGGCAGGGTTAGGGAGGTGGGGCTCAGGGCCGGGTCGATGGCGACGGGGGCGTTTGGTGCCCTCGATTACGAGCGGGTTCGGGCGGCGCACGAATCGACCATGGTCCCATCATAGCCACACTGCGGGGTGGCCGGCAGCCGGCGGCAGCAGTGGGCGGTTTGTGCCGACTCATGCTGTCGCCGCCCTGTCGTGTCGGCGGCGGCCGTAAGCTCAACTGTCTACACATAGCGGGTACACGATGGCGTGTGTGCGCTCTGGGAGACTCCCTCCCCCCCCCCCCCCCGTGGTGATGGCCAGGATATCTGTGAGATCATCACGGTTGTACTGCTGCGATGTTCATTGTTGGTTCAATCACGTAGGTCGATGTGTTTGGTGCCGACAACGCAGCTACTGCATTGGTGTTGTATGAAAGTTTCTGCAGGGAGTTAAAAATGTTTTGCGTGTGTTGTGCGTGCCGCTGCACCTGCCCTCCCCTCCCCTCCCCCCCCCCCCCTGCCCTGCCCTGCCCTGCCCTCCCCTCCCCTGCCCTGCCCTGCCCTGCCCTGCCCTCCCCTCCCCTCCCCTCCCCTCCCCTCCCCTCCCCCCTCTCTTCCACCGCGCCCCGCGTGTGCAGCCGGACGCGGTGCTTTGCCCTGACGCGCCGCCGCTCGCGCCGACAGAGGGCGCCGTCGGCGTACCCGGGCGCAGCTCGTACCTCTCCCTGCTCGACTCGCCGCCGCTGTCGTCCAGCGCCCCCGAGTCCGAGTGGCGCCAGGTGAGGCGGAGCAGGCGGACCTGGCGCGCCACGGCCGGCTCAGGTCAGCGGCTCGCTGACGGCGCCAGCCAGTCGTGTGGCTGGGCGCCAATGTACGCATCGGGAGCAGCATTGTCCGTTGTTTTAGCGGCTAAGGCCGAACTGCTGACAGCACGCGCGTCTGGCGTGGCGGCTTGTTCCAGCCAGCGCGCCATGTGTGGTTGTATCAGACGGTGCGTGCGGGACTGTGAAGCAACCGCTTTGGGGGCGTTGTATGATGGCTGGGTCGCTGCTGGTGGTGTGGGCGGCGGTGCCGTGCTGTGATGGCTGGGTCGCTGCTGGTGGTGCGGGCGGCGGTGCCGTGCTGTGATGGCTGGGTCGCTGCTGGTGGTGCGGGCGGCAGTGCCGTGCTGTGATGGCTGGGTCGCTGCTGGTGGTGTGGGCGGCGGTGCTGCGATGTGATGGCTCGGTCGCTACTGGTGGTGTGGGCGGCGGTGCTGTGCTGTGATGGCTCGGTCGCTGCCGGTAGTGTGGGCGGCGGTGCTGTGCTGTGATGGCCCGGTCGCTGCCGGTAGTGTGGGCGGCAGTGCTGTGCTGTGATGGCTCGGTCGCTGCTGGCGGTGTGGCCGGCAGTGCTGTGGTGTGATGGCTCTGTCGCTGCTGGTGGTGCGGGCGGCGGTGCCGTGCTGTGATGGCTCGGTCGCTGCTGGTGGTGCGGGCGGCGGTGCCGTGCTGTGATGGCTCGGTTGCTGCTGGTGGTGCGGGCGGCGGTGCCGTGCTGTGATGGCTCGGTCGCTGCTGGTGGTGTGGGCGGCAGTGTTGTGGTGTGATGGCCCGGTCGCCGCTGGTGGTGTGGGCGGCGGTGCTGTGATGAGCCATGACGCGCCACGGCTCGCGGCTGACGCTCCCCGGTGGCGGCGCGCCACAGGTGCGGCGTCGGTCGCGCGAGCCGCGGCCCCGCCCCGGTGGTCACAACGAGTCGCCGGCGCCGGCCATCGACGACCGCGAGGAGCTCAACTTCCAGTTCGACGAGGAGCTGGAGAAGGTGCCGGCCGGCGGACGCAACAACACGTTCACCGATGAATGGTGGGTGGCGCGGCTAGCCGGCGGGGAAACGCGCTCGCTGTGACAGGTCTGTGGCGTGCTAAGTGGGCCACCGAAGCAGCGTCTGTAGAACTGGGTCGGTGGTGCGCCGGCCGACTTGTGGGCTGCATAACTTTCAGAGCCAAATTGGGGTCAGAGCCAAGAAGCGAGCGGCTTTGGTAAGCAACTGGCTGCCTATGTATCCAATTAACCAGTACGGTGGTTTTGCTTCATTTAAAGCATCTCACGATGTGCCACTTAAAGTATTTTATGAATGCATTGTCAGTTTCCCCGCGGAACGAAGTTTGTCAGATGTTTAACTGCTCACGCATATTATTTGCATATTAGAATGACCTGAAACCTGGGACCACGCACTGATAGTAGATTTTCCGGCAGAGTTTTCAGCATCGGTTTCGTTGGTGGGACTCGGGCCGCAGCTGTCCTGGCATCAGAGGGGGGGGGGGGGGAGGAGGGTGGAGAAGATAAGAAGACGTCGGGCCGGCAGCCAAGTGGTGGATATATCTGGAGCCAAGTCATCAAACAAAGCCGCGGTCGCACGCATAAATTGTACAGTTACAATACGCTCTAGCCGCAGCAGGCCCATTTTCCGTTTGGTTTTGAATCGTAACGTATTCATTGATAAAGCGTGAAATGTAATTTAACCTTTTGGTGGCATGCTTCTTAGATACCTTTAAAGTGCGCGGGTTCCGAAGGTAAGCTTGGTGTTTAAAGTGGTGTGGGTGTTGCATGGTGTTGAGATCAGGCCCTGGTCAGCTGACCTGGCATTTCAGTGCGCGAAATAGCTGGCTCCTTGGCCTTTTTTGGTTTGACGGTTTCTTACAAAGTACCTTGCAGCCGTCAGCCCGTCGTGGTTAGCTTCTTAATGTTGTTTGATCGTCTGTAGATTTAAAAATCGTACTTGGGTCAAAAAGAGTGACTCGGCCAAGTTTCATGGATAAGCAAACAAATATTTTTGTAAACAAATAATAATATATGTCATCAAATATGTGTAATATATAAACAATAAGCAAGCAATTGTGCAGACAGATGTGGCATGGGTGGCGTGCCAAAGACGCATAGACCTATGTGAATTATGATTAGTTCTTAAAGAAAAAGCGTAACGGAACTTTGCTGAACTTATCTAAGTGGTACTTCTTGCTTCGTTTCCATTTTTCGTGAAATGCGGAAATAATCTTGTCGGTTTGTAATCAACTGTAGGATGTGTCATTTTGCGTACCTCGTGCATCATTTGATTGCGTGATTTTTGTAGATATCTTGCCAGTCTCACTTTGAGATATTGATATTTTCTGCGCATACTGGAACCGTTATTTTATCCTACGTTCGTGGATACATCTGGAGTTGCAATTTGTGGAGATGTCTTAAACATATGAACACGCACTGTATTCAACCATGACGAGAAAATGTTCCAAACGGACTACGTGCCAACGGTGAGCGAATAGTGGCAATGGACAGCAAACAATCGACATAAAAGCTAGACCAGACTGCCCCTTTCCTCCTTGTGAGTTGATTTTAGTGTTACTATTGTGGCGCGGTGCTAATTGTTGACGTTCTTCAGGCCTTTCTTTGAAATTAAATTTGCACACATACTGAGATTGTCTCATGAGCTGGAGATCTGGCATTTGCTTCCCGCTACGGAGAATGACTAACTCTCACCAGGGTGTGCCGATGTTGAAGCATACCACTGCAGCGCAGACACGCATGATAAAATATCGCAGCATTAGTGAGTGTAACGGGAACAAACAGGGAGACCCAGTGCCATTGCGATGTTGCTCGCATCCGATGTCGCCCCCGGGACGTGCGCGTGTGAGCGAGCGCACGGTCACAGCGGCGGCTTACGAGGCTTGAGTCAGCAGCCGCCGGTGTGGCGCGGTTGACAACACCCCGCCCCGCCTGCCGCCAGGTCGGACGACGAGTCGGAGAACGACTTCCCGGACCGTGGCCTCGACAACCTGATGATCGTGACGCAAACGCCGCCGCCGTCGCGGCTGCCGTCGCGTCCGGACAAGCATGAGGGCCATGACCGCACCGGCGACTGGACCACGCGCGTCAAGATGACCCAGGATCTGGCCTCGGCCATCAACGACGGCCTCTTCTACTACGAGCGTGACCTCTGGAACGAGCCGGAGTGGGTGAGTGACCACTCGGACGAGCCGGAGCGAGGAGTGACCACTAGAACAAGCCGAAGTGAGAGTGACGGCTGGAATGAGCCCAAGGGGGTGGCAGACCGCGAACTGCCAGAGGTCGGGTCGGACAGCTGATGGCGGCTGGCTTTCTCGGCGCGGAAAATTGTTCACTCTGATTTCCAGCGGAGTGTCTGTATTCCGTGGGATACGCATGGAGGCGTCCGTGTACGGTGTGGCGAGGCGAACTGCTGGTATGGTTGTCTTTCAAGTCACGTTATTGGACATTCTCTGTGCATATTGTGCTTAAGTGGATTATCTTGTGCGATGTATGTTTTACCTCTTGTCAAGTCGTTCGCATGCCAGTGTCTTTCTGCGTGCCCCATTTTCCAAGTGATGTCTTTGGCTATCAGGCTAGTTATGTCCCGACCATCAATCTGGAATTCTTCTGTCGCAGGAGATTACCTCTGTGTCCAAGCAGGTAACTGTGATATCAAGCGAGGAGTTCAGCAAGATTAAGCCACCGTCTCCTCGAGCTCAAAACCAGCAGGTTCCTCCGCCGCCGCCGCCGCCACCGCCGCCGCCACCCACTCAGCTGCAGTCCGACGACTCGAATCTGTCGCGGTCGTTACCCACTGATGTGAGTACCACTGCATAACTGAGGTTGATTACAACTGCGTGTGCCGTAGCGTCTCGCCCACTCGTTTCGTTGGTGTTTCCTCCGCCCCAGTCCCGTTTTCCAATGATATTCGTGTTGTGTCTGACCTGCGCGCCTATGAACATTTCTAGCTTTGGCCTGACTGACTGGTTCGCCTGCGTCCGTGTCATCGTTGCCCGACATGGTGTGCTAGCGAGTTGTGGCGTCATGAGGCGGGCCCGCCGGAGCGTCAGCTGCTGGGCCGCGCTGATGCTGGGCCCCGCGCTGCCGACTGGACGCCCGCCGGAGCGTCAGCTGCTGGGCCCGCTGCTGCCGACTGACGCCCCGCCGCTCGCCCCCCAGATCCCGATGACCCCGAAGGGCGGCGCCGGCCGGGCGCCGACTACGCCGCGCACGCCGACGGCGCCGCTCAGGCGCCGCGCTTCTACCCGTGGTCAAGTCGAACCGGCCGCCGGACAAGGCGACGCCGCGCAAGCGCAAGCTGCGCCACTCGCAGAACCCGCCGGTTGGAGCACCACGTGGGCTGGGTGATGGACAGCCGGCGGCACCCGCCTTCGCGGCGCGAGCGCACCATCTCGCAGACGAGTGCCACCAGCGGCACCAGCCCGTCCGAGGGTGGCCTCTCCACCAGCCACGGCAGCACGCCCGGTTCGCTGCCGCAGTTCCAGCACCCCAGCCACGCGCTGCTCAAGGAGAACAACTTCACGCAGCAGGTGTATCACAAGTACCCGCGCTCGCTGCCTCAGGGGTGAGCGTGGGCGTGGGCGTCCGCCGGCGGAGGCGCGTGGGTCGCTCTCGCCGGCCTCTGCGAGAGCTGGGTAGGACGCGGACCACCGTGGTTAATCCGCGCGCTAGATGTCTCCACGTGCCAGCACAGAGAGGGCCGCGGCATGGTGAAATGTCAGCGGCCAGAGTACAGCGAGGCACACCCCGTCAGTTTAGTGTGCTGCATTGGCTTGGGTGAATGGCTCCAGTGTTGCGTGAAAACCGGCTTGGAGAAAAGCCGAGCTCCAGCCTGTGGCGACCAACGCGACGCCCTAGCAAATGCGCTTGTCCATGTTTCAGTATCCTGTCCGCGTCGCCCGGCCTGCCGCGAGCGCGCGCGTGTATCCGTGGATGAGTGTTGAGCTCGTGTGTTTCTGCTCCAGAGCGCAAGCGGCTCGGCGTTGGCCAATCTCAGGAGATGAACACGCTGTTCCGCTTTTGGTCCTTCTTCCTGCGCGACAACTTCAACCGCAAGATGTACGAGGAGTTCCGCCAGCTGGCCACGGAAGACGCCACCGGAGGGTACAGGTGCGTCCAGCCGGCGCCCGTCGTCGGTCGCTGATGTACGGCAAACTACTGGGCGCAGCTCGCAGATGATCACTACAGGGCCCTGACCAGGATGGGAATTGGCAGCTGGGACCTGGCTGTATGCGGTCACTGTTGTCAGTGCCGTCAAGTGGCGGATCAGTTTGTGGTCCCGACCGTGCCGCTGCCCCTGCTCGGACGGTTTGGTGGTGCAGGGCTGCCACTGCAGCAGAGCCGGGCAGTTCGATTCCGTCCTGTGTGAACAATGCCCTGACCGGACGGCGCGCGCAGGTACGGCCTGGAGTGCCTGTTCCGGTTCTACAGCTACGGCCTGGAGCGACGGTTCCGTCCCGAGCTGTACCTCCACTTCCAGGAGGAGACGCTCAAGGACTTCGAGTCAGGTGAGCGGGCCGCCTGGGGAGCAGCCGCACCGTTTGAGTGGCGATTGAACGGGGCGCCGGCCATTCACACGCGGGGGATCGCTTGAGATGTGGCCAAACATGAATCGAATTTTGTATGAAGTCATGTGATGGAGATGTCCAGCTGGTACGGTAAATTCGTGCACAAAATTTCGATTATGGTTCCCTGGCGCCGCACGTTGTGTTGAGTACGGATCAGTCACCGATACGCCTGCCTTTCGTAGTGATCACATTTGTTCGTCATGTCAGAACAGCATGCGCACAGCTCAGTACCCATTCTTCATATGACCAGGGTAGTCGGTGCAGCCTGACGTCCAAGTTATCGTCATCATGAAAACTGGCAACGGAGGGTTGCCATTACCGCTGGTCACGAGCCGGTTTGTCCTAGGGCGCTATTTTAACCCCTGTTCCCCCTTCCAGGTCAGCTGTACGGTCTGGAGAAGTTCTGGGCCTTCAAGAAGTACTACCGCCAGGCGCGCTCACTGGACACGCTTCCTGAACTGGCGGCGGCGCTGGTCAACTTCCGCCGCCTGGAGGACTTCCGCGTGCTGCCGGTAGGTGTCACAACCCCGACAGCGTTCAGACTGGTTAGCCGTGAGTGCTGATGTTAGCTGTGTGACTGAAGCGCATGCTGTCCTGTCGAAGTGGCCTGTGTCGCGGCGCATGCGGACTGGCTCCGCGCGAGACGGCTCTCACGGACCGGCTGACGCGCGCCTGGTTCGCAGCCGGCCGGCGAGGAGGATGCCGACGCCAAGGGCCGCCGCAGCCGCCACGTGTCGGAGACTCAGACACGGCACCGGCGCGGCCGGCGCGGCGCCAGCTCCGAGGCGCACGGGCCGGCACGCGGCGGCGGCGGCGGTGGCCGCGGCGCGCGCAGCCGCACCACGTCCGAGGGCGAGGGCGGCGGCCAGCAGCGGCGTCAGCAGAGACATCACTCGGGTATGCAGCCGGCCGCCGCGTCGCAGCCGTCGCCGCAGCCGCTGTCCAGTGACACGCAGGAGCTTAGGGCGGAGACGGCCGGCGCCCCGGCGTCCAGCTAAGCCCCAGTGGCGCGAGCAGCGTCGGACGGACCGTCAGCTGGCAGCGATTGCACCGCGGGTGGGCTGAGGGACGGCCGGGCCGGCCGGGCAGGATCTCGGGACGCTGACACCCGGCGGCCGGCCGCCCTGCTGCGCACACATCCAGCCAGCTGGCACAAGACGCCGGCTCCCGGCGCGCCCATACAAGACCGGGAGCCGGCCGGCCGGCCCTTTCTCAAGGTTTTGCCGCTGCCGCCGCGCGCCCGCACGGTGGTTGTTTACCGGCGGCCATGGGGCGCGCACCCCGGCCACCGGTTGCCTTTCTCCCAGCGCCCGGGCGTAAACCTAGGCGGCTCCAAATAAACGAGAGCCGTTTTCCCATGGGATTGTTTATTTTACCGTGGGAGGTGCGCATTGCGGCGGCAACGGCAAGCGATTGTCGGCCGCCGGCCGCCGGCGCCGCTGCGGGGGCTTTTTGGGTGTGCGGCGCGATTCGGCTAGGCCCGACTGCATAAGTGTATTAAAACACTATCATTACGGGCGTCTGGTGGCAGGCCCGGCAGCATCGGGTGAAAACAATCTTATTAGTGTGGCGCGGGGCTGACCGGACCCGGGCGTCTGGCGGCGGCCGCGTGGCTGGCGTGCTTCGAGCGGCGCGTGTGTGGCGGTGACGAGTACAATGGCGCGGGGGTGATGGAGGATGGATGCTGCGCCGTCTCAAGACAATGCAGCGGACCAGGCGGCCGGTGCTGGTGTCGCAGGCCGGGCCGCCAGCGGATCGTCGCCCCTAGTGGATTGTAGTGTGACCAGTGTGCGGCGATCAGCGTGAAAAAGCAGCAAAAAAAAAGATCGACTCTGTGTGAAGTGACGCAACAAGATTTGCATGCCGCGGACGAGGACTGCATCGGAGAGGTGGTGCTTTGTTTGTGCTCGTGATTTGTTGACGGTGTATCCTCCCAGGAGGAAACGAGTTGAAATCAGGCTGTTATGATGTGAGCGGCAAGACAGCTGTTGCGTGAGATGTGGTGCCGTGTGCTCGCACCGACTTGATGGCTACGCCCTGCCACTGCCCTCTGTCAATCCACGGAAACCACTGTCGTGTCCTCGTCGTTTTTCGATTTATTTGGGTCCAAGATAACGTTTTTTGGTGACATCGTTTATTTGGTGTGGACACTGGTAAACACGGGAGGGTCTTTTCCGTCGGTGTATTCAGTTGCTGCCCACGCGGGCCCGGGTTTATCGATTGTTCGCAGCAGGAAGTGCGCGTTTCGTTTTGTAGGCTTCTTGTACGGCTGTTCTGTTTTCCGTGTCCTTCGTTGGCCTTCTGCACTGTCGGTGCGCGGCATCCATGTGCTCCGGGCCAAGGCGCAGGGCTGGGTGGTCCTCGCGTGGGTGTGTCGGCCGGCCGGGCGGCTCGCCGTGACGCCCGCCGCCCCGGACCTGTCGTCGTCGCCCCGTGTGCGCAGGTGACGGCCAGGAGTGGGCTCAGCGCCGGGCCGAGCCGAACCGAGCCGGTCACCGTCTGGCGCGAGGCAACCGGCCGCGCCGAACGGAGGAGCAGCAGGGCAGCGGCGGCGGGGAGGGCTGGCGAGCCGGGCCCGCCACAGAGCGCGGCCCGGCCGGAGCAGGTCCGCGTGCTGAGCCCGGCCCGGGAGCGAGCTCGTGTCTGGGCTGAGGGCCTAGCTCGGCTCAGCCGCCCTCGCCGGAGAGAGGTTGTCTCGTTGGTGTGGTCCGACCCAGGAATGTGGTTTTCTCCTGAGTCTAGCCGTGCATAGGGGGGTCTGGGCCCGGCTCAGGAATGCCATTCTCCTGGGTCTGGGTCCGGCCCGGCCCGGCCCACTGGGAGGCTGTCTCCCAGATGAGGGCCGGCAGTGTGCGTCACTACCAGGACCGCCGTGTGTCGCGCGCTTTGGCACCCTCTGGTTGTTGCTGTCAACATCGCGCCCTCCCGCTTTTCAGTGTCTTCGAGGACGGTGGTTGCCTCTGTCGCCAATGGCTGACTGGGCCTGGGCTTTGTCGCCGCCTGCGGTGCCTTTATATGGTTGAGGGTAAATGTGGCGTGGATCGGTAATTTTTGCTAGTGGGAAGACTTGTAATTATAGCAAGGGATTGCGTTGTAATATAGGATGACAAAATCGCGAACGTGTTTCATAGTTTTCGGTTCACGACGACGCCTTCGATGAAATATGCAACGACGACGTCCTGCGTTCACTCAGCTCATTGCAAGAACAGTGCAGCTTCACATCTGTCAGTCGCGGTAAGCCCGTCGTCCTGCCTCAAGATTTCGAGAAGACGATTGCTGTCTGATGGAGCACAAGACGGATTCAGTAGTGTAGTTACGTGCCCGTTTGGCTTAACCGTCGTGTGCACATTTCAATTTTGGTATTGCTACTGTTTGCTTTGGTAAAGGCGCGTGCTTGATGGTCTTCGGGGAGGTGTCCAGGAAAGATGTACCAGTCCTGGTCACGCTCCGGTACCCGAGAACTTCTGGTTAGCTGAGCTGATAACGATACAGCAGCGCAGCGTTCCCCATTGTCAGACGCCGTCCACTTGTGGCAACCTATGATGTCATAGGCGAGTGTGTCAACAGTTCTTACGGCTTGGGTAATGTAGCTCGGCTTGTATCCTATCGTGGATGGAGAGCTTTTGACAACTTTTGGAACATAGCTAAACATCCCGAAAGCTCGTGCAGCAAAAATGAAAATCGTTTGGAATCTCGGGTATTTTGAAACCACTCTAAAATTACGGCGCCACGGCGTCATTTTAAAGTCACGGCGGCTTTGAAACCTGGGAATGCAAATCATGACTCCAGGATATACAGCCACGGTTCATTGATATGTTCGAGACCAGAAAGCTGTCACACCACATAGTGACGCATTTGCACTTTTCAATACCCAAGTGTTTGACAAAGGTCTCGTAATGAGTCCGCCTTTTCTGGCGCGACCAATCCAGCGTTCGGAGCCACGTTGCCGGCGCCCTCGTTGAGCCCGGTCCGGAGGAGCGGGCGGGGGTGGCCCGGGACCCGCCTGACCCGGCGCCGGCGCGCCAGCCCCATTACTCAGCGGCTGTGGCGCCGGCCCACCGCGCGTAAATCGTCGCCCGTCGACGGCGACGCGGCCGGAACGGCGGGCGGCGCCGCGGCCGCCGGCGACGCGCTGGGCGTCGGTTGCGAGGCGGTGCCGAGCGACGCCGGGCTCGGGTGTGGAAGACGCTGGCTCTGGGGCTCTGGCGGGCCTGCCGGCTGCATGGCGGAAAAAGGTGCGAGCTGCGGTGCTATGAGGGGCCCGAGGTTGATGATTCGAAGAAATTCTCTCATAAAGTGTGGTTTGAGTAAACCTACTTACAAGCGTGGCGTTGCTTGCATCGGAAATACGTGCGATTGCATAACAAGTCAGAGTTGTACATGCCAGCTGCCGCAAAATCAAAGAGGGTCCAAAGAGTTCTGTCCAAAAATTGTCCGACTGCGTTGTTCTGTGGCTGGAAGTATCTCAACCCAAACAAATGTCAGACAAAGGGGATTCCGTCACGTTGGCACGCTCCAGCTGGTGGCATGGTGGCGTCATGCGGCCCTGTCCCATTAAATGCCGGCGCAGTGCTGGCACATGACAGGTGCAGCCTCCCGTGTGGTCCACGTTAACGGCACAGCTTTACCAAAATATTGCATCTTGAAGAAAGAATGTTTGGTCAGAAAGATTCCATGTGAATCAGGAGGAATGCCGCAAAAAATATGAATGCTGCTACCGAACGCTCATTCGTCACACATGTGATGGGTGGCAGCAGTTTTGCGCATCCTTGCCACAAAAATCGTCCTTTCAACATCACTACTTCAACGTTTTGCATTCCGTACCAGCAGCGTGGCTTTCCAAAATAGCCATCAGCGGCCGTAATCACGCAAGCACATGCTTGCGTGATTACGGCCGGCGATTAGTGCTTACGGGCTTACGGGCTTAGTGCGATCGCGTTACTCGCTACGGAAGAATGAGCACGCCACATTCATCCTTGTAGTGCAGCGCTCTGCGAATGAGGTCATCGTTGGGCATGAGTGCTGTTACAAGCCGTGTGTTGTCCTATTCCCCCCCTCCCCCCCCCCTGGTCAGCTGGCCGGCAGCCTGGCAGCGGCCAGCCTCGGCGCCGCTCAATGGATGTCGGGGCGCGCTGACGACAGTGGCGGGGTCGCGGCGCCGGGTGGCGGCGTCCGTTCTCGCCGCTGCGCCCCGGCCGTGATGTCGCCGCTAATTGATGCCCACCCGAGCCGCACCCGGCCGGAAGCGGACACGCTGCCTCTGTCATTAGGGCGGCCCGGCCGGCGGAGTCGGCGACAGCGCGCCGGCCGCCGCCGCACACGCCCCTGCGTCACATGTCACAGGTGTGACCGACCGGCACCCAGACGGCGTCGCTCACCCCTCTCGTCCAGGTGTGCGAGTGCCACGAGTGGGGGTCATGTTGATTTGCGTGTGAGTAAAGTAACGAAAGGCGACATCCACCGTAAATCACAAAAGGGTTTGCCAGAACTGTCCGGGCCTGCATCGCTTGACAGCCTACGCCAATTACGCCTTTACCCTGACAGGTATACATGTGGCTGCGCGGGTCCGCTGCCAGTCCGCTGCCCGGTCACTGCCTAGCTCTGCCCAGTCCCGCCTGCCCGGTCACTGCCTAGCTCTGCCCAGTCCGCTTGCCCGGTCCACCTGCCCAGTCCTCTGTCCTGGCGCAATCCGCTGCACGGTCCCCACTGAGTCCGCTGCCCGGTCACTGCCTAGCTCTGCCAGTCTGCTGCCCTGGT